CGTGCCCACTCTCTCCCGGCCGTACCTGGCTGCGGAGGCGGCGGGGCGGGCTATGGACGGCTCGGCAGCTCCATACCGGCGGCGCTCCCGGTCCCGCTCCCGGAGGCTGCGCCCGCCGCCGCCTTAGCTGCGCGTCCACATGGTCACTGCGCTCCGCGCCCGCCGCCGTGCCTTAAATAACCGGCAGGGCACGCTGGGTAACCGAGTCCTGCCGCCGCCGCTCCGCCGCGGGGGCGCGGCCCACGGGACTACAGCTCCCAGCGTGCCCCGCGCCGCGCTCCGGGCGGGGGCAGCGGACAGCGGAGACCCTCGGGCTCCGTGCGGCCAGGGACGGGGACGGAACCCGGGTCCGTGCGGTCGGTGTTGGGGAGGGATCCCCCTGTTCATGAGAGCCCCACCGGTTGGGGACGGGGATGTGTTTTGTTCCGGGGGTCCGCACAGAGCTCGGGAGCGAGCGGGGGGGGAGCGTACGGGAGTACCGGGCACAGAGGTTGCGAGAGTAAACCCTGAGTAAAACAGGTGTCAGCGCTGTTTGGGGAGTGCAGAATAGCGGGAAGCGAGGGCTGAGGTGAGCACCTGCCTGCACAGGTGCCGTCACGTCTGCCGTGACTCAGGTGCGAGCCCTTGGCTGAGCAGAGTCCCGGCCGATCTGCAGGAACGGCTCCAAACTCTGGAAATAGCGAGTGTCACTGGAGTTCCTCTTCACTAAAATTACTGTACGGGGGTATCACTAACGAGACATCAAAACTTCAGCCAGAATGACCAGCAGCGAATAAAAAATAGTAATATTTCATTTATTTTTGTATTATGTAATTATTTGTCCTTAAATATTAGCCGAGGTTATTCCCCACAGTTACACCCTGATTTTCCTGCCCTCTGTGGCTGCCTGGCAGGGTGGGTATAATGTTTGCCTGCAGAACTGTATCGCTTTAACTGGGATTTAGGTGAAGGAAACAGTTCCCTCATTCATTCACTGTCACCCGCAGCCACGTGCTGCCGTGGGTAACAGGTAGGAATGGTGTTCTTGTTTGTTTCTCTCTGGGGAAACAAACGAGGTGTCCTCGCTTGTTTCCCTCTCTACAGCAGCAGGAGAACGCTGGTGAATGGGAACAAGCCCAGATTAGCCAGTTTGAAATCAACATTACTTCCCCTGCACTGGCTCTCCATTAAAAATAGCTCCAGAGGAGTTGGAGCTGGGGCTTTGGAGCAAGGATAAGCTGAAGCTGTGACTCAGGAACTGAAGCGAAGGTCAGAGAACAGAGTTTTATGGGTTTCCTACATGGCTGCAATACTACGAGCCATTACTCATCAGGAATTTGGCAGACTAGTGGTGCCTAATATCATTAGATAATCCTAATGAATTCTTGTGTAATCAAATCTAATCTCTGGATGGGTTCAGCAGGCGGAGGCTGCGAGCGAGCGGCTGCAGCGGCTCCAGGGCAGTGACAGAAGGGCTGTCACCAGAGCCAGGGGCAGAGCTGTGCCTGCTGAGCACCTTGAGCAGCTCTGCAAACAGCGTGCCTTAAAATAGCTCCAGCACTGAGGGATAAATCCAAACAGCAGCACTGGGGGGAAGCACAGGAACAGGCTCCCCCGGGAGGGAGTGGAGTCTGCCCCTCTGGAGACATTCCTCTCCCCGAATACCAAAGCCCTCATTTTTGCTTGTGGACTACCTTTGATTCTGGGTCTTGGTCAGTTCTTCAAAGGCTGAGGAGCTCATAGCATCCCAGAATGGTCTGAGTTGCTCCCAGCCCCAACCAGCCTGGTTTTGGACACTTCCAGGGATGGGGCAGCCACAGCTGCTTTCTCTGGGCACGGCACCCTGTGCCAGGGTCTCCCCACCTCACAGGGAGCGATTTCTTCCTAATATCCAACCTAAAGCTATTCTCTGTCAGCTGGAATCCATTCCCCCTTGTCCCCTGGTGGCCCCTCACCAATTTTTGGGCATTCAGCCAAAAATAGTGACCAAGCTCTGCGAAGAACTTGCTAGATTTGAAGGGGTGCTGGCAAAGACAAGATCATCATGGAAGCTTCCAATGCAGGAGAACGTTTCCATTTGTCTTTGGGAGCTTGCTCTGGGCTGCTACTGCAGGCACTGTGAGTTCATGGGGCTCTTATAGTCTTACAGCACTGAAAAGAGGTAAAATTGTAGGGCAGCGTGGGAGTGGGAAAGGTCACCTTGGGAAGGACCAGAGTATTCCCTTACAGGAATTTTCCCTGATAACGGGACCTACAGGAGGCAGCCCTGAGATGGGAACAGTCCTGTTCAAATGAGGGCTGGGCTTGGAGCCCACACACCCCCAGAGGGTCGAGGGAGCGAACTCAAGAATTCAGAGAGGAAATAGTGAAAAAACACTACTTGGTAGGTATCACTTCAGCCCTGGGAGCTGCACTGTGAATGTTTGGCCCAATTTCACATGTGGTTTCAGTCACAGGAAAACAACTTGTGAGGGATTTTTATTTTTTGCTATTGGAGTACTTTGTTCTTTTTCTCCTTTTCAAACCCTGTTCTGCTCCACTCCTACTTTATTTTTAGCAATTATGGAAATTCAGCAGCGATGAAAGATGTTAAAATGAAATTTGAAGTCTTTTATTTGCTTTTTTATTTCTATTGTCTTGTTTTATGTTGACAAATTTGCAACTAACCATTGGCTGTTTTGGAAACATTGCACCTCCAGCCTGCTGGGTGGCTTTGCACGGGTTTTGGCTCTGCTGTTTTGGTTTTGTGTCTTTTGTCAGTTGCAGGTCAACAGCCCTGGAAGAAAAATGAGAGCAGAAGATATTCCAGGACTGTGGGGATCAATCTGTTTCCTCTTGCTCGTGGCTGGTCTCCACAATGGGGAGGATGATCCCACAAGTTCCCTGTCCATAGGGAGATCCATGCAGGCACTCAAGGATGAAAAGCACTCCTAGAACAACTCAGCCTCTCATGAAGCGCTGGAAAATCTCTCATTCCCATCACATTTTAATAACAGCAAGATCAGAAGCATGGGGACTCAATGGGAGGAGAGAGAAAAACTAAAGCCTGCATGGCTGAGCACAAAAGGATCCACAACAGCAAAAGTTCTCCAAGTCCTCAGGATCTCAGAGTGGAAGTTGCTCAGAAGCAAACTGTAATTATTTCATCTGTTCTCTGGGGAGAGTAAGGAAAATGAACCCTCCTGATGGAGCCACACAAATGATGCACACAAGAATTCCAGGGAAACGAGCCATGAGAACGAGTGGGCAGGATACACCAGAGAGCTGTCCCAGCTCATTGGAAATCAGCTGATTTTCCTGAATTCCAGCACCCCATGGCCACAATCCCAGGGATTTGTTAAGGGGAGGTTATCGTGGCAGACTCTGTTCAGTTGTAGAAGTCTGTAGAATTTGGATGCCTACCTTTTGTTTTCACTTCAGTGAATTGTGTTGGGAAATATTTAGCAGGAGAAAATAAGTTGGATTTAACTCTCATTTTCATGGCCATTCATTCCTTAACAAAGGGCAAAGATCACCGTGCCAATGCAAAAGGAATATTTCCATTTTCTGACCCCAAAGCAGCAAGGGTTGGTTGTATGATTAAGTTTGCACTCATTTGTTTTCCTGCACTCTGATGCTTTTCTGGAGCACATCACAAGGCAAAAGGGACTAATGATGGATAATTGGAATTCAACCCTGCGAGGCTTCCTGTCACATTCATATTTTCTGGAAAAATCCATTTGCCCAGGATCTTCTCCTGGGAAGCTGAGAAGCCTCAGAGAAAAAGGAAAACCAATTCTTATCTCATTTGCTTCTCCTGTGTTGTGCTCGCATGTGGAATGTGTTTGGGGATTGTTTACCCACAGGTGATTGTTTCATTGGCCATTTTGACTTAATGGCCGATCAGGGCCAAGCTGTGTTGGGCCTCTGGAGAGAGTCACGAGTTTTCATTATTATCTTTTTATCCTTCTGTAAGTATCCTTTCTGTAGTCTTTAGTATAGTTTAGTTTAGTATTCTGTAATATAATATAGTATCATAAAATAATGAATTAGCGTTCTGAGAACATGGAGTCAGATTCATCATTCCTTTCTGCCACAGGGCACCCGACAAATACAGTATCCTCCAACACTGCCATTTTACACAGCAAAACTTCACAGAGCAGTGCAGCTCCTTTCAGCATTCACGCACACCAAACCCCTCCGTCACTCGTGCTTCTCTTTGCTGCAAGTACAAGCCAAAATTACATTGAGTATTTTGAATTAGTATCCCGCAGGATGAGTAAAGATTTATTTCGGTGTAGAGGATGATGCAAGAAGATCCGTTCTGTTGACAGCTCTGAAGAGAAGCTCCCACAAGAAAGTAAAGATTTTACAAAATCTCCAACAACTTCAGTGAACTGCGGGAGAAATGAAGGAGAACCCAGGAATTGTGATTCCCTGCTGGAGAGGGGCAATCCCAAAGCACCTTTCCAGGGACAGGCCTGGGAGCACGCCCATGGTGCCCCTTCTGAGATACCTGTGGGGACACTGGAGGTGTTTTATGGACACGTGGGATTCCTGTGGGCATTTGAGATCTTGGAGTGGATTTGAGATCCATTCGAGTGGATTGCTGAGCTCCCCTCTCAGGGTGCTCTGCACCAGGGAGGGCTCAGCAGAGCAGGAACCGCTGTGGATGGCGACCCAAGGGGACAGGGGGGTCAGGGGGGTCAGGAGAGGACGGGGGGACACGAGGGACAGGGAGGGATATAAGGAGACAGTAGGGTCAGGAGGGACACAGAGGGGACAGGTAGGGACACTGGGGAAGGAGGGGACAGAGAGGGGCAGTGGGGTCAAGGGGGGGACACAAGGGACAGGAGGGGACAGGGAGAGACACGAGGGGTCAGTAGAGGACAGGGAGGAACAGTGGGGTCAGGAGGGGACATGAGGGGTCAGAGAGGGACACAGAGGGGACAACCCCGGTCCCGCCCCTCAGGGCGCGACGCGGCCCCTTTAAGACGCTCCCGATCACGTGACGGCGCGCGGCACGTGGCCCCGCCGCCAAGATGGCGGCGCCCGCCCGGCTGTGCCGCTGCCTCTTCCCGCTGCTGCTGCTGGGGATGGGAGCGGGAGCGGCGGCCGGGACCCCTGGGACCCCCGGCACCGCGGGCTGCGGCTGCAGCGCCGGCCGGGCCGCCGGGGACGGGCGGGAGGAGGCGGCGCGGCGCTACTCGGCGGCAGCGGCGGCGGGCAGCGGGCGGAGCCGCGGGCAGGGGCCGGTGAGCGGCGGGGCCGGGCCGGGAGGGGGCTCGGCCACCTGAGGGGCCGGGCTGGGCCGTGGAGCGACCCCGGCGGAGCACGGCCTCCTCCGGGATAACGGAACAGCTGGGGAACTGCTGTGGGGAAAGTTAAATTAAATTATAGGCGGGTGGGGTGAGCCCCTGAGGAACTGGGCTTGGGCGCGGGTGCTGCTTCGGGCCCCACCTCGCTCTTGCCTCACGGAGAGAACGGGAAACATGAGGGAGTTAATCTCCTGCTGCCTCTGTTCTAGTGCTGGGAAACTGCGTCAGCCTGGAAAAGCCTGTGTGCAGCAGGCAGTGGGGGAACTCGCTTCACAAATTGGAGAATATTTAAAGAGTATGAATTGAATAATTCCCTGTTGTGCTTGGGATCCATGTCACCGATGGATATTTTGTGTGACAAACCTGAGCAGTTCACTTTAGGTCTGGAGGATGAAAAAATCCTCTGACCCTTCATGTAGCTGGCAGCTCCAGCAGTAGGTAACGAAAGCTAATTACTAATTATGCTCACAACATAACTTGATGATGCTCAGCTGGAAAACACCTTTACCAGCAGAGAAGCTGGGAGAAGAATTGGTCTCTGCATCACCCACAAACAGGTTTATTTATTTCCAGCATGGTTTTAGAACTGGGGAGCCAGCAAGAGTTAATTTTGCACATGATTTTAGCCCGGTGAGCTCTGAGCCTGGCTTGGAAACCTCTTGAGGGAGTTGTTCCAGCTACCGAGGCTTGAAGAGAGATAGGGAGGGAGGAAGTGGTGCAACTTTGTGTTGTCATTTCCTAAGTCCTAAAAAATGTAAGCAAATTTATCCTGAAGCCCTTTTATGGAGTCAGTTTCAGACTGTCTGTGAGAGCTCAGATTCTTCTCTGTGGAGAAAGTTACAAGGACACAGCCAGCTTCAGATGGGGGTAGTCTGAAGGAGAAGCTGCTTGTAGCATTTTTTATGGGCCAGTTACAAGGTGTGTGAATTTTAGGTGTGGCTGGGAGAGACCTGAGTGGGAGAGCTTTACAGTGAGAAGAAACATGGAAATGGGATGAGAAAGGTGATGATGCCAAATCCTCATTCCCCTGCCCTGAAGAGGCAGGAGAGGTGCTGGGGAGCTGCTGTGAACTCGTTTTCTGCTCCTTTGCTGCCCTGGCAGTGGTGTAGCTGCAGGAATAACAGCAAAGTGTAACATAGGAAACATAGCATGCTTCTCCTCATGGGAGCACCAGCATGACCCAGACTTCCTGTGAAAAATGGGGATTTGTCCCCCAATTGCAGTTCTGTCTGCTGTTTCCCCAAAATGCTGTTTCCAAATCAGCTGCAGAGGCAAGCAGCAGGAGCAGCCTGGGCTCCTCAGTGTCTCACTGTGCCTCCCTGGGGCTGTTTGCTGTGCAGATGGTGCTGATCCCAGCAGGGGTGTTCACCATGGGCACCCAGGAGCCCCAGATCCAGCAGGATGGAGAGGGCCCAGCCCGCAGAGTCCACCTTGGCAGCTTCTACATGGACCAGTACGAGGTCAGCAACCTGGACTTTGAGAGCTTTGTCAACTCCACGGGCTACATCACTGAGGTGAGGCACCAGGGCTCCCCTCAGCCTGGGACAGCCCCAGCTGAAACCAGCCTTGTCTTTTTGAAGCATTGCTTGGGAATTGCACACTCCAGTATTTCTGGTGGAGGTAGTGGGGAGAGGGAATTGCCTTGCTGTCCTGGGCTGAAAGGACAGTCAGGGGTTTGCTGTTGTGTTTAATAATTGTCACCTGAGCTCACATCTGTCCTGCAGCCTGAGTGAGGCCAGCAGGTCTCTACACGGGGTTTTGGGGTGGTTTGCTTGGGGTTTTTTGATATTTGGGTCCTGGAGTATAGGAGTGTGCCCCCTGTTAACAGGGGGCTCCTTTGTCCCCTCAAAAAGGAAATAAGCCCGGAGAAGTTTCTCTCTTTGATAAGGCGCAAAAGCCACCTCACAGGCCTGGGGACTTCACCTCAAACTTAAGGATAGCCAATTGGACAGAAGCCAAAAAGTCTTGCAATTTACTAGGAAAAGAAATTAACAAAGAAACTAATTGCTTTTGTGAGGTGTTTTACCAGGAGCAAGAACCTCCTGCACCTGGCTTGGTTTTTCTCTGTTTGTTATTTTGCCTTTTATTAAACCTTTTTGTTTCCAACACTGCAACAGAGGCCATCCTGCTGATTTTTATGCCTCCAAGGGTAGCTGAGCACTCTTGAGTGTGTTATAGACCTCCAAGAGCTAATGAGACCTAACTCAAAGAGGCTACTGTAACACTGGAGCTCTTTGTACCAGGTTAGATTTTCCTTAGTTTAGAGAAACCTGAAGAAGGGATTTAAGAAACTGATACAGCCAGGGGTTCTCAGGCTGGCTCTGCACAGCTCCTGCTGGTGACAGAGAGCCCTGTGCCTCAGGAGGAGACAACAGCAGCTGCAGTGATAACTGTGTGCCTGTTCCTGGCAACAATGGACTAGGAATGTGTTGGGGTTCCTGCCAGGAAGGAGCCCCTGTGCCTGAAGCTCAGATCCCTCCTGACAAGTGACTGTTCCTACACAGCTGTGACAAACCTGACAGCCCTTTCAGGGAAATGCAACCTGGGGAAGGAGCAGGTCTCCAAGGAGGCACTTTGCTGAATTCACTTGATGAACTGGTTGTCATTTGGAAGGCAGCATCCTCTGCTTGGATGAAGAGCTTCTTTTGTCTGCTATTTCTGTTTCTTAGCTCCATAATTATGAAAAAAAGGGAGGATTAACTATTTTGAGTTGGAACAAAGCTTGCTTGTAGCAAACAGCTTCTGGGATGAGCACGTGTGTGGTGGGTTCAGTGTGGAATCACAGAATATCTTCAGCTGGAAGAGACCACAAGGATCACCAAGTCCAACCCCTGGCTCTCTGCAGATACCCCAGCAGTCCCACCCTGTGCCTGAGAGTTATCCAAATGTTCCTGGAGCCCTCGCAGGCAGAACTGCATCATGTGGGGGCTGTTGCAGACCCCATGGCTCAGCTGGGGTCGTTGAGTTCTCCACTTACTCCTCCTCCCTTTTTTTTCTCTTGGTATAATGTACTGTGATTGATGGAAATTATTTGTATATTTTATTCTTTTTTATTGATATAATGCTAGATATGATGATTGAGTTACTTTCAACTGTTTACTGTTGCAGCAGCACTTTTAAACATGGAACTAGTGATGATGGAACAGTAAGTGACAAGGCTCAAGTCTTTTATTGTGCTTCCCAAAGGAAAAATAATAGGAATGAAACATGCCCTTTCATATTAGACTGATGACTGTAGCATTTGAAAGCAGTTGGGACAATCAGAACTGCATTTTTAATGAATAAAAGTAAAAACATGTGCAGAAGCTCAGTGAGCTGCCATCTGCCCAGTGGCTGCTGAACAAAAACAACATCCAGAGAAAAAGTCCCTTCTTTTCTGTTCCAAAACAGCTTCCTTGAAAGAGAACTCAAATTCACTATTAGAATTTGTTTGGTCAAAGGTTGGGCTTGATGGCCTTGGAGGTTTTTTCCACCTTAAGGATTCTCTGAATTTTCTTATCCTTGATAAAACGAAGCTGTAAGTGTTGAGTGTGGTTCCAAGAATAGCACTCCTTTGATGACATAATGGTTGAATCCTTTGTTCTTTCCACAGGCAGAGAAGTTTGGTGACTCTTTTGTGTTTGAGGGGATGCTGAGTGAGGCAGTGAAGGCTGACATCCACCAAGCAGTGAGTAGCACAGCAGGGGGAACCTCCCTGAGCAATCCCTGGGCTCTGCTGGCAATCACAGCAGGGAAAACTGAACTCTGTGATGTCCCCAAAGCCAGGTGCAAAAATGGGGATTATGGAAAGGTGTTTGGCCAGGAATCATGGGCTGAAGTGGGGAGGATTTGCAATCTGTTCTGTCCTTTTTCTTTAAAAACAATTAAAAGCATCAGTTCCTGATGAGCAAAAATTGGTATCAACCCCTTGTTGTCTCTTCTTGCCCCCTACCTGAGAAGTTCATGCTGTCTGTAAGATTCCTTATCTTGTGAATGGCTGGAGTTTGACATTCCTCCTCTCTAGAGGATCCTGTGTTCATTTGCTGCTTTTCCAGCTCCCCTCATCTCCCTGGGCACCACAGTGATCCTGGGAGGGGCAGTGCTGACTCCTCTGGAGCTGATCCAGTTTTCCTGTTGAGTGAAAGTGAATATTGGTTTAAAAAGCAAAACATTTCTGTACTAAATCTTCCTTGCCCTCTCTTTCCTCTTTTTCTGTTGTGAATGTGTTGCTGAGCCTTCCTCAGCTTTCCTTTACCTCCTCCTTAGCAGGTCAGGTGCCCTTTGCAGCTCTTGGCAGATAAGCAGATTGTGTCCTGTCATCTCCTGGATGAGCTGATCTGCTCTGAGCACAGGTTTGGACAAAATCACCTCCTGAGCTCCCCTGCTGTCAGAATTCTCCTCAGCTCTGAAGGGGCACAGTTTGATTTTTGTTTTCAAGGGGCAGCCTGAGAGGTGGGAGGTTTCAGGAAGCCCTGTGTGAGTGTGTGCTCTGAGGGGCTGGCAGAGAACGTGGGATTTGGGTTCCTGCTGCCAGGGAAGGAAGATTACAAGTGCAGTTTGTAATCTTTTAATTCAGGACTAGCATTTGTGCACTGGGAGAGATAAGGCTAAATTGCAGTTCCCACCACCAGCATAACTGATGCTAAATCCATCCATGGGTTTGTTCTGCTTTCATAAAAATAATAAAAAATACAAATAAAAAAAAAAGAATGGCTCATCCCATCTTCCCATTGGAGAAATTCCTTTTCCTGTGTAGTTCTGTGTTGCAGAAATCCCTAAATCAGTGTCTGTGTTTTAAAACAAACAAACAAACCCCAAGAATGCTGCTGTAAGCTCAGCCTTGGCAATTTTGTAAACACAGAGTGTTGGGAGCCACTTTCCTGAGCGTGTCAGCCAAATTTCCAAGTGTTGGCTGCAGTGCTCACAGGACAAGTGTTATGCCAGAGGCCTGGGATGGAGCCCAAACTGGTCTTTCTTGGCTGCTGCTTTCTGAAGGTTTTCTGGAGCTGTTAAAAGTAAACTTGCTGTTAAAAGTCACCTTCTTCAATCATAACTATCAGATGAAAAGCAGAAATAAGATATAAATATTGGTGTGTTACTGGCACTGCAAATCCCTCCAGCCAACCAGTGGGAGAAAGGACTGTGGTTTTCCTTTGCCTCAGTGGCTCAGGAGTGTTTTGACTAGGATTTTCTCCAGGTGAAGCACAGGCATGTTAAATGTAAATGTGAAAATAGGGGAAGAGCAACAGGAATGTAAATTTTTAAAGCAGTATTTCATCTGCAGTGAAATAACTGGGGAAAGGTGGAAGTACCAAATGAAATAATTTAGAAATGATGAGCTGTGTGTGTCTGTCGGGGGTTTTGCTCTGTTTGGCCACTTTGTGTTCTCCAGTTCTTAAAGCAGATTTCTCAGAGCCTCAAAGGCACGGGCTGAGGCAGAGCTGCTGGAGGAGTGACCCAGCTGAGCTCCAGGGTGATTGTTGGAGCTCTGGGTGTGCCTTTCCTGGAGGTGAGGTGGGCTCCCAGATCGCCACTGACAGCACAGGAATGTGGGCTGGCCTCAGCTCTGGAAGGGAAGCAGTAAAAAGGGGTGGAGCAGCCAAGGATGGAATTGTTGCAGATTTCTGGGAACTCAGGTTTTAGTTTTGGCCTCCAAGTTTGTGGTGGTCACGTGGCAGAGGGAGGATTTGGTGCTGTGCCAGATGAGGGAGTTACTGATGGAACAGAGGAGGGCTCCTTCAAATGGAAAAGGATTTTGTGGGGTAAGGGGGGAAGGTCCTTTGAAGCTGAGATTATTTGTGAGGGCTTAAAAAATTGAGAGCTTCACATCTTAAATTCTTCACATGCAGCTTGGAGAAGAGAAGGCTCTGGAAAGACCTTGGAGCCCATTCCAGGGCCTAAAGGGGCTCCAGAAGAGGACTGTGGAAAAGCATAGGACACAGGGAATGCCTCCCACTGCCAGAGGGCAGGGATGGATGGGATATTGGGCAGGAATTGTTCCCTGGCAGGGTGGGCAGGCCCTGGCACAGGTGCCCAGAGCAGCTGGGGCTGCCCCTGGATCCCTGGCAGTGCCCAAGGCCAGGCTGGATGGAGCTCTGAGCAGCCTGGGACAATGGGAGGTGTCCCTGCCATGGCAGGGCTGGCACTGGGTGGCATTTAGGGTCCCTTCCAGCCCAAACCATTCCATGATTCCATTTTATTCTGAGGGATTTGAGAGCTCTTGCCAGTCCCTACTGGAGTTTCCTTGCTGCCCAGGTACCATGGATGGCACAACAGGAGTGCAGCCTCAGTCTTTGCTCACTGGAGAGTAGTGGGGACATCGTTATTCTTGGCTCATGGAAGGCAGAAAAATTAATTTTTGCTTCAACACCAGATAAATTCTGCACTGAACAGCCTGAGAGCATACAAATGTGTGCTGCCTTTGTCTGTGAGGGTATGGAATTTTGGGTCTGGAATGCAGTGGAATTGGCTCACTGGCAGCTGAAGCCAGCACTAAGTTCTGGCCAATCCAGAACTGTGGGATGCTGCTTTCATCCCTGTCTGTATGGAAATCTCTGCAGTGGCCCGGAGCTGTGCAATTTGCCTATTTCACAATAATCCCAAATTGAAACATTCTGCCTTTCAGCTGAACATCCCAAGCTGCTGCTGAGAGGAGCCCTGGCTGCAGGTGGGACAGCAGTGCCAGTGTGGGCAGGGTGAGCTGTTCTTGCAGCCCCCACTGCTTCAGCTGCTCCCTGCAAGGAGCTGGAAGATGGAGCTGCTCCTCTGTGGGTTTTTGTGCTCTACTCCCACTGCTAAGAGGAGGTGCAGGAATTCTCCCTGGGAATTGCCAGGAACATCAGCCTGTGTTATCAGAGCTGCAGCTTAAAGCAGGCCATGGTTTCTGCCTCAGGATAAATCCGTGCACATCTCCTCTCCTTACAGCTCACGTGCTCTTGATCAGTGGAAAAAATGACCAGTTGGAGTGCAGATTTAGGTGTTGGCTGGAAATTAGACTTCCAGAGGTGTCTGCCTTCACCAGGAATATCAGTTCCTCAAAAGAAGCTTCTTCTGATTCCAAAACTTGCACTTAATGAATTTGACTGGATTTGAGCATCACGTATTTGTGGTTATTTTTCTTGGAGGATTGACAGGGCTGTGAAGTTTACACTGTCTGAACTGAAGTTCAATGACCTTTCCTTATGCACAGAAAAGGTCTCTTCATAAAAGTGCTTGTTTCCAGTCAAGTCTGAAATATTTTTTGTAGTTGATGACTTACAAAGTAAAATCATGTTTTAAAGCTGCAGCCTTTCCTTGGTGTGCAGTTTCAAGCTGCTGTAAAATACTGGATTTTAAGGCAGATAATATTCAATATTAAACAAACCTCCTTGTTGCTTCCGTTCCTGAGCTCATGAGGGAGGCCATTAACATTAGAAATTAAGAGTGAGAACAAATTCTTCTGTAATTAGAGCTTTGAGGGAGCTGGAACTTTTAATTGATAGAATAAATAGCATGGGAATTGCAGTAGCTGGCAAAATCAGGTATTCAGAGAATCCTGGAAGGGACCTCTGGAGATCCTAGTCCAGCCCTGATGCAGGTGTGAGCTGCCTGCTGGACAAATCCTCTGCTCACTGTGAGTTTTGTTTGTGTGGGGCAGGATTTCCCAACCCTGGCTCAGTCCTTGTGCATGATTACAGCAGGTTTGTTCTCTGTGGGGACAGTCAAGTGGATCCATTGCACAGTAATTATTTTTATTTCTTAAACTTCTCACCCTATTAAAAATGTTCTGTTTTCTGTCTGCCTCTTTCTTCAGTAGTTCATTAATCAGTGCTCAAGGTTTAGGATCTGGCTTAGAGCAGGAAGAACTGTCAGAGATTTATGTGTATCTGCCTTACATGAATAAAATAAAACCTCATTTAAAAATTATGTTCTTTACCGAATAACAAATTTTTCCTCACATCCTACCAATGCTAACAAGATCCTTTTGCATATTAAAGATTATACAGAGCTGAACACCATCTGATTGAAACAAGTGGTAACCTATTAAGCCAGCTTCTGAACTGGAGTGGTTTTTTAAGAACCCACCACTTAATAAATGAGTTTTAAAGTGGCTTCCAGACTTGGGCTGCTTTTCACTCAAAATCTCTTTTAACACAGTTAATTCAGAAGTTCTTACTCTGCAGTCACTTTTGGTTTTTTCCAGCTGTTTATCTTGACCTGGAGTAAGGCTTTTAAAATACTTGATTAAAATAGCATTAGAATGCTGTAGCACAAAAAAAGCTGATGTTTGGTGCAGTATGACTGGACAGCAGCATGAATTTGTCATATCTTGTGGGCCTGCCTTAAAGTTCAAATCCACAGCTTTGTTATTTCAGGGGACTTGCTACTTGATGGAAATGTTGGAGCCTGAGCCAAGATGAGCTCCTCTGTTGAGTTATTTTTGGTAAATTTTTTGGATACATAAATCTGATTTGAATTTGAGATTTGCTCCTCAAGTGGGGGTTGTTTTTCTCTTGAACGTGGCCTGTGACAGGTTAGTGCAAGAATAATAAATGCTTTTATGGCTTTGGGCTGGGTGCCTTTGGGGTGGTTTTTAGGGCTATTCCCCTACTGCAGCAGTAGCAACAGGGCAATGCTGACAATGAAACTCACTTGGTGATGTTCCCCACTCTAATTTTCTTTTCTACATAGATTTAGGAAGGAATTTTCTTTGAGCTAATTGTGAAGTAGTTTAAAAATCTTGACATTGTGAGGTAATGGAGCAATTAAAGCTAGGCTGTCCCAGCCCACTTGGAAAGGAAAATGGAATACTTAGGAGGAGAGTTTTCTGCAGGCTGTTAGTGGGAGCTCAGGCTCCAGCTCTGCAAATTGCTCTGCCCCAGTGCAAAGCTCGTGGGCTGGAATTAATTGTTTGAGCTCTTCCCAGTGTTAGCACACTGGGCTCTCCTTTCACAGTTCTCTGGGTCTGCAAGAAGCAGAACAGGGAGTTCTTAAGGTTTAATCCTGGAGGGGAGAGCAGGATAATCCCTGTTTCCAGCTGGAACAGACCAAACCAAGCCTTTGTGCCTCTGCTTTGCTCTGGGAATGTTTCCCTGTGCACCAGGGTGTAAGGATTGCAGGGCAGGTGTGGGCAACCTGGCACAGGTGACATGCTGCAAGAATTCACCACAAGGAAGGGGATTGTCCTCTGATTCAAGATCTATTCAGCAGCATCTGCTGCTGTTTGGACAGCAGGGATCTGTTGCCAGTGCACAGAACATGTTTCGGAGGGAAGCAGAACGTGAAGTGTTATGAAAGTAACTAAGCTCATTATTGGCAGGGGAGGACTTGGCTGTATTAACTGTGATGTTGTAATATCTCTGTCTAATTAGCTGTTCTGCTAATTAGATTTAGAGCAATTAAAAGCTGTAAAGACTTGTGAGAAGTTCAGGAGAGAACTGTGGATTTCAGGTAGGAGATTTCTGGAAGGAGCAGCCCGGGGTGTGTTCACTGGAGCCAGGGGCTGCCTTGGATCAGTCTCCAGGTAATTCTTGCAGGCTCTCTGTGCTCTCCCTGTTATCCCTGTCCCAGCCCTGCATGTGTGCCTGCTCTGGGTGCTCTGCAGAGCCTGGCAGCCATTTGGTGCTCAGCTCAGCAGAGCCACAGCCGGGAGCTGTGCACACGCAGTGCTTTCCTGTGGAGAGACATTTTTCTTGGGTTAAAATAAACCAGCCTGATTGAAAGCATCTGCTTTTTCTTTTGCATCACAAAAATGTTTTCCAGAATTAAAGTAGTCTAAAGTGTAAATCTTTGCAGTCTCCTGCAGAGATGTTTTTATCCAAAACCCAGCAGTTTAATTTACAAAAATATGTTGTGCTTAGAAACTGTCGAAATCTTTCTTGTGATCTTTCAGATTTTAGCTTTAGCAAGTGGTTCTGCTGCTCTTTTATTTTCCTTAAATAGCTGTAAAATGCTAATTTTGGATTTCTGTCCTATTTTCAATGTAGTTTAAAGGTCAAACCTCAATATGGGCAAGGAATTGGTTAAATGGGACTAGTTTTAAACCTCTTGACTGTTGTATCAGTTTAGCAGCCCCATCACTCTGAAGCTTTAGTGCTCAGAGTTGAGCAGAGTGTCTGCAGGAAGGTCTCATTCTGGGGTTTGAAGCTTTAGTCCAGGATTGCTGATTGTTGATTTCCAGGGAGCTTTTTCCATACCCAGATGTGCTGTGGGCAAAATCTGTGTGTGCTGGGAGGGGAGGAGGGAAAGGCTGTCAGGGAGTGTGAGCACAGCCTGCTGAGGCTCTAAACCCAGGATAATGTGTGTTTGGGCATTTGCTATTGAAATATCCACATGAATGATTTGATGTGGAGCTTGGACCAGGGTTTTCTCAACAATCTCTGTGTGACACAGATCATCTCTTGTCGCACACACATGTAATTGCATGTTCTGTTGAAGGATGCAGCTTCCCCCAGAAGCTGCTGTTAGAATTGTTTGACCAGACTGATTCTGGGTCTCCTCAATACCAGCTTGCAGTGATGCTTTGGCCTTTGCTATAAGGGTTTGGTGAGTTAAGGGGTAACACTCTTGGCACCTTTCCTACCTCTGTGAATAACACTTGACAAAGTCAGGCTAGGACTAACCAGCCTCTGGCTTGTTTACCTCCTAAAGCATTCCAGGCTTATTTTCTCTGATTTTTGTTCTTTATAGACATTATCTCTGTAATAGGAGTAGTTTGGAAGCTGCTGCAATAAACCCACTGTTGATGGGTGGCATAAATGTTCCTTTCTTTGCCTCAGTGAAGGCCCCATTATTAAAATAATTATTTGTAAGTGAATACCAATCAGAACAGTTAAGCATTGCTTTGAAGTAAGTCTTATAGAAGAAATCCCTAAAGAATGTCTTCCAGAAAAAACTCCTTGGCATTGAAGTACCAAATTTGAGACTTCTGGTTTGAGAGAACTACTCAATGTCTGCATTGCTACAGATGATTTTGGCTGTGTGATGTTTCCCAGCAAACCAGCTGGAGAAAAAAAAAAGAGAAAGTCTTCATGCTTCACTTGCCTTGTGTGGTTCTTCTGTCTCCACCTTCTGGAAGCTGAGAGCAAATAATTTAAAATCAGCTGAGTGGGTTAATGACCTGGAAAGCAAATGTGTTGCAAAATGAGTGTTTGACCCCCAGCTAAAGGGCATCATCAGGGATTGTTTCAGTGATGTCAAAACACTGAGTCCAGGGAGTAAATAATTAGGGTGAAAATGCTCTTTAGGCCAAAATTGTAATTTTTTTTTCCTCTCTGCAGATTGTATCAGACTGAAGTCAGACAGGAGCTGAAATTCACACAGACACAGGCTGGTTTGGGTTGGAAGGGGTCTGGTGGTTTTTCAGCAAATCCCTTAGCTGGGAATTGAAGTGTCCTTCCCTGCTGCTCTTGTCCTTTTTCAGGTGGCAGCTGCTCCCTGGTGGTTGCCTGTGAAAGGAGCCAGCTGGAGGCACCCTGAGGGCCCTGACTCCAGCATCTCCAGCAGGTGAGCCATGAGCACCCATTCCATCACAAAGACAGGGAATATCCCTGGCTCCCACAGGAATGGGGCTGCAGGGGAGGGCTTTTATTCAATCCCTGCTGGCTGCTGCTTCTGGGGCTGTTTTCCCACCTTCTGTTGAGCTGCATGCAGCATTCCATGGCCGTGGTCAGTGATGGAGAGCACAAAGGTCTGTCAGGGCTGTGCTGACTGAGCCTCAGTGTGTGCTGTTCATGTCTGTGGGCCAGCAGGGAGCACATCTCAGATCTTCCAGGGTCACAAACTCCTGACCTGGGTTTGGAGGGGAGGGATCAGTCCTCCCTGTGTGCACACTCTGGAGTCTGGGCACTCTGAACTCTTCCATGTGGCTGGCATTTGGAAGCCTCTTTCTCTGGCAACAGAAGACTGAGGATTTTTGTGCTTTTTTCCACTGTGTTCTGACTCTGTGAAAAAGCAGTTGTGACTGTGTAGAACCTCTGAATGCTTTGGAAAACTCTGCTTTTTCTTACAGTTAGTGCCATCCTTTGCCTGCACAAACCCTGAAGCTTGCTGGTCCTTGTCTTCATACAATTGCTCTCCATTCTGAAGTGGGATGAATTTTAGGCCTAGAAAATCAAATTACTGTCTTCATTTGGGGCCTCTAACATTGCAACTGCTCCTCTGACTAGGCAGGTGTCAATAAAGTTGGCACTTGATCAGCTAGTGAAAGTTTCTAGCAGCATTTTGAAATCAAATCAGACTCTCTAGCCTAGATCTAGTAGGTTTTTGAGTCCTCTAAGGACAGGACTTTGTTAGTGCACCATCATCTGATGGCTGAAACGCTCAGTAACGAGTTATCTGCTCTCCAAGGGCAAGGAAAGAATTATCTGAGGCAAAAATAGAGATAATAGCTGGAGGCATTGTTAGGGGGAGCCAGGAATTGAGGTCAGAGGCAGCAGACAGGAGCTGGAAACCTGCCATGAAATTCTGGGCTGGTGCAGACCTGGCCTGGCACAGCTGCTGGGAACCTGGAAATGACCCCAGGGGTTAACAGGGATACCCTGGATTCCTGAATGGGGCAGGAAGAGCAGTTTGTAGGAAGTTCCTCTCTCTCCTGGACCTTCAGCTCTGGGAGGATCTTGGTCTGTTAGGGGCTTGGATGGATTCTGCAAGAATGGCTGGGCAATTTTTTCTGCCTTTTTCTGGAAAAAGGGACAAGGATTTTAATGTCAGTCCTGGAACCAAACCCCATTAAAGATGGGAGCTCTTGTGTAAACTGTGACTGCTCAAAGCACCCAAGGAAAGTCACTTCCCAGCTAAATTTCTGCAGTTCAGGTTCCTGGACAGGGTGCTGCAGAAGCTGATAGAGTTGGTGAGACTCTTCCTCGTGTCACCTCTCCCTCACAGCCCCACAGCTGACAGCAAGGACAGCACCCAGAGCAGGAGGGGAGAACAGTCAGCATTAAATTGCATTTTCCTGTTGAGCATCCTGCCTTCTGGCTGAGATGGCCCTTGCCAGGCTGGTTTGGTGCAAGATGCCCTGTGCCAGGCTGCTTTGGCAGTGGTGATGCTGCAGGTTTCCAGTGCTTTCCTGTGGCTCTGCAAGCCCAGGCTCCCCCGGAGGGCAGGGCATGGACAGTTCTGGGTGCTGCACTTGAGAAACCACAAACCATAAATGACTGCAGAGCTGGAGGTGGCAGCAGCACAGGACAAACAGAAGTTCATTATTTTCTCCTCCTGTTTCCCTCTGATGGCTGCATTTCCCTCCCAGCATTTTGCTGCCTTTCCTTAAGTAACTTTGCTGTAAAGTGACCTGGTGCAGCTGTAGCTCATCAGTCCCGTGTGCCCCTGGCTGGCTGGCTGTCACATTGTGCTGTGCAGTCTGCCTGGTGCCCTGAGGAGCCTGTCCTGCTCGTTTTGTTCCCAGAATGGACCATCCAGTCCTTCATGTGTCCTGGAATGATGCCCTGGCCTTCTGCAGGTGGGCAGGGAAGCGGCTGCCGACGGAGGCTGAGTGGGAGTACAGCTGTCGAGGGGGGCTGGAGAACAGGTACCTGTGCAGGGAGGGGCTGCAGCTGGCCTGGCAGCACAGCCAGGGCTTCTGAGGGCTTTGTTAGCCCAGAACTGCTCTGCAGCCAGGCTGGGGGTGCTCACCTTGAGGGGAGAAGCTCCAGGGAGAGCTCAGAGCCTTTCCAGGGCCTGAAGGGGCTCCAGGAGAGCTGGAGAGGGACTGGGGACGAGGGATGGAGGGACAGGACACGGGGAATGGCTTTAAACTTAAGGAGGGGAGGTTTAGATGGGATATTAGGAAAAAGGTATTTATTGCAAGGGTGGGCAGCCCTGGCACAGGTGCCCAGAGCAGCTGTGGCTGCCCCTGGATCCCTGGCAGTGCCCAAGGCTGGGTTGGATGGGGCTTGGGGACACCTGGGATGGTGGGAGGTGTCCCTGCCATGGCAAGGCTGGCACTGGATGGGATTTAAGGTCTCTCCCAGCCCAAACCAGTCTGGGATTCTATAAACTGACTTTGTTAATTAACAGTGTTTGACAGCTGCTCTGTTTGTCTTTCCTCAGGCTTTTCCCATGGGGCAACAAACTGCAGCCCAAAGGGCAGCACTATGCCAATATCTGGCAGGGAGAATTCCCCACCAATAACACAGCAGAGGATGGGTACAAGGGGACTGCACCTGTAAGTGTGTCTCAAAGACAATCCAGCATGTGGAAATGATCTTAATCTTCCTAAAATTAAGGTCTGTCTTCAGGAGCATGAGCCATGGCTGTTTTCCATCCCTGTGCTCTTTCATTTTAGATTTTAAGTTGCATTAAATTTCACTGCAGGCTTGAACATTATCAAGGGACTCCTTTACAAGCTAATTGAAAAGTAAAGATTACTTTCATTTTAACTTCTAGTTCCTCTCAAACTGACCTCTTTTCCCCCCTCCCAGTCAGTTTGTAGTCAGAAGCTGAAATACTTTCTGCCTGCACTTCTGGCCTTGCAGTTTTGTGAACCCAAATATCCCACAATAATTTAAAAGAAATTAAACTTCCCTTATGGGGAACCGTATGGGTTGGGCCTGTCTAGTATAACAACCAGAGTGGCATTTTAAAAGCAATCGAGAATGTGAATGAATTATTTAATGGCATTTAAGTAAATCCAAAAGTTTGATCAGAAGAGGAGTGTGCCCAGGCAGGAGCTGGCAGCCCCCCTGGCTTTTCCTTGGTGAGTGGGGTCAAGTCCCTGATGCCAGGTGTGTCTGCTGCTCAGACAGTGCCTCCCTGGAGAGGCTGAGTCTCCAAAGGCAGCGAGGGGATGCTGTGTCACACTGAGCAGGGTGACACAGAGCTGACCACAGCCTTCCATCCTGCTTCATCTGCATGCAGGACATGGAAGTGTTCCAGGTCTGCACTGCTGATCTGGTGCCTGCTTTTGGGGCTCCTCCAATGGCACCTTGAGCAGAGTGGTGTGAGGATTCCAGCCCCTGTGGAGTGTCACAGAGCTCTGTTCCCTTCCTGTGCAGGTCTCTGCCTTTCCCCCCAATGGGTACGGCCTCTACAACATGGTGGGCAACGCCTGGGAGTGGACATCGGACTGGTGGGCTGTGCACCACTCCCCCCAGGACCTCCACAACCCTGTGAGTGTTGGCTTGGCACACCAGGGGCTCCTTGCTGGGGGAAAACTTCTGTTCTGTGCTCCTGGGCTGGGGGATTGGGAGCATCACAGCACGGCTCACCCACGCTGCAATTGCAGTGCTCTGATGCAATTTTGGTGGTGTTTGGTTGGTTATTCACACCTGGTTGGCCATTGAATCCTTCCCAACTGCCCTCATATTACAGAAATCAAGAGTTTGTGGAATGACTTCTTTAAAAAAAGGAAGAGTTTTAGTTCATTCATATTGCTACAAGCTGTACTTATTTTCCCCCTCCCAGGCAGAGAACAAACCATTGTGAATTATCTTTCTGGCTTCTGGTAGCTTGTTTTAAACTGAACATGTGATAAAACTGAGGTTTAGGAGAAGTCACCAGGCTCTGAGAGGTAAATCTTTGTTTTTCTTTGTGGCAGGCAGATGGAGGTTCCTACAGGGTGAGATGTGTGAGGTCACTGATGCTCTGTCTCAGCAGATTCCAGTTCCAGTGTTAGACCTGCTCCTCTCCCAGTTATCCAGGATGAGAAAATCCCATGATTTATAAATATAACAAGTAAGGCCAGGTAGAGTTTGTCACTCAAAACCCCAACAAATACAGTGGTTTTTATTTGCTAATAATTTACAAAGCACTTTCAGGTTTATTTTTATTCCTGGTAATTACTTGTGAAGGCAAGACAATCAATTATGGAACCCTCCCAACAATCTGTGTGCAGAATTCCATCCATTCCTTGTAACCAATCCTCAGCATAGCCCAGATCTTTCCAGTGCTAGAAAGCTGCTTTGAAGATTTAGGATGTTAATATGATAAAAAACTTTGCCTGAGCTCTGACCCTCTGAAAGAATTCAGAGTCTTTTCAGCCCAGAGAACACATCCTATATTTAGGTTACACTGCCTTGTGCTCTGCAGAGACTGAAGAGCTGGGCTCTGATAGATCTGGTGCTAATCAGTTCTAATGTCTCAGAAGATAACTGCAGCCTGGCTATTTTGGGACACCTTTGCACACGAGGAGATGCAGTTTCCTTACCTGTTTAACCAGAAAAACCCTTTGGAATTCACTTTGAAGTGCTCTGCCTCAGACACTGGATTCTGACAATCAGTTTGCATATGAAAAACCCCTAAAAGCCTCATTGTTAACACCTGATTTTTAAATACTTCCTGAAGTGTCTGGGTTTAAAACTTCAGCAAACTCTTGAACAGAGCAAAGTTCACAGGACAGCTGTTCCCCACCATCGCCTTAATCCAGCAGGGAAGTGCTCCTGCCTTGGCATTCACCAACACCTAAGTGTCTCAAATAAATGATTATAATGAAGGTGCCTCACTGCAGTCACTGAATCCCAGGGTGGTTTGGGTTGGGAGGGACCCTAAATGCCACCCAGTGCCAGCCCTGCCATGGCAGGGACACCTCCCATGGTCCCAGGTGCTCCAGCCCCAGTGTCCAGCCTGGCCTTGGGCACTGCCAGGGATCCAGGGGCAGCCCCAGCTGCTCTGGGCACCTGTGCCAGGGCCTGCCCACCCTCACAGGGAAGAATTTCCTCCCTAAATTTGTAACTGATCCTTTAGCAGAGAAAGCCAAGTGTGTGTGTGAGGTCCAATCAAACCAGGGTCCTTTTAGGGGTTATTTTGTGGTGACTTCTGGCTCTGATTTTTTGTATGAGCTGCAGTTCTCTGATTGAAAACTGATTTGCCTCCAAACAGGGTAACCATGTGGCTGTGCACTGGAAATCACCACACACCACCAGAAAGTATCTGTTTGATGTAATCAAAGAAGTTCAGCTTTGTTTTCATTAACAAAAAAAACTTCAGGGTTTTTTTAGTAACTTTCAAAAGAACAATCCTACTTTTATGAGCTTTGGTAATGGAATGCACAAGCACTTATGTAATCAGACTGGAATATGGCTGTTGCAGTATTCTAGTACAGAACAACCTTGTTAATTTACAGTAAACTCTGGGGTTTAAATCTGGGATCAAAGTCTGGACAGCTCTGGCCTTTTGCACCAGTGTCCTTCCCCTTCAGTACCAGCTGGTGCACTTCTCTAGGTCAGGCCATAAAACAATGGTGTTTGATAGAACAGAGATTTGCTTGTTTTAATCAAATGTGACCTTAATTGCTGGGCTGAGATTAGTTTTTATGAGGGGAAGCACAGCCAAGGCAGTTTCCTTCATCTATCAGTGAGATATGTGCACAAGCAAACATTAACTGCAAATGCTGCTGATGATGTCTGTTGGTTTTCTGACATCTTTGCCAGTTGTTTATGATAAACTCTTTATCTTCAGTGATTTTAAATAAGAGAAGAATGATATTTTATAATGGAACAGATTAATGGAGGACAGTACAGCATTTTTTTGCAGGTGAGGTACTTCAGGGCTGTAATCCTCCTTTAGAGGCTGTGGGGGTCAATTTAAATTGTTTTTTTTTTGTTACTAAATAACCTTTGATGCTCAGTTTTGGCCTGGTGGAAGGTCTTTGTAGTTAATAACAAGATGCACTTCTGAGCCTTTGGTTCACACACTGCTCAGTGCAGGTCAGCCCTTTGTAATTGCTGACACATGACAGATTTAGGGCTTTCTAACCCAAACCAAAAATGTTCCTCTTCATTTAGAGAAGTGTTTTTGGAGCCAGTTGCACAGATTGCTGCTCAGCCCTGCAGCATTTAGGGGAAATCCTGCTCCACAGCCCCATTGTTCTGCTTTGTCTTGTTCCCACAGAACTTTTTTTAGGTCAGTTTTCTCCTGGCTTGCCTTGAAATGAGATTACCAGGCTGGGTGATGACTGTGCTGGTTGGAGGCTTATCTCAGAGCAGGGACTGTGCATGTGCCTGCAGGTGTTTGGGGAACCTTTCCAGAGGCCTCAGTGGGAGCAGGGCTGGGCTGTGGAGCAGCACCCAGGCTTGGAAGGAGCAGATGCTGCCTCAGGGTGTGCCTTTCCTTCGGTATTTGTGTGCCATTAAATGCCCAATTCTTTTTCACATGGATAAATTTTGGCAGGAAACATAAAGCTACTGCAATTTGTGTGGTGAACTTTCACACAAAGCTCTCAAACTCAGGGAGCTTCTAGAGTACCAACATCAACTCTCAGGGTTTTCTGATAGTCCCTGGGATTTATGGTCAGTTATAAATGCTCTTCTGGGGTAGATTCTTCTAGAACATCACCCTGGTAATGCAGACCTGGGTGGGAGACAACTGTACCCCTTGAGACAGGGTAGGAGAGTGGGATCCATGGCAGGTGTGACCAGACTGGTCACAGGGTGGTCACTGAGGAAAGCTGGAGCTCATTTCCTTCCTGGTAAAACCCTCTCTAGGAACCCCCCTGTTCCCAGGCATTATCAGTGAGCAGCACCTGCAATGTTAAATATTTGAGGCACTGGGGAGGGAGCACAGTTACTGTCACCTGCAAATCCTGTAGGGCAGAATTATTTCAAGCTGGCTGCTTCAGACACCACTGACATCTGTGTCTGGAATATTTCTGACTGCTCCTTCTCCATCCCCTTACTGCCTGTAATCAGCAGTTATTGCTGAGTACTGACCAGTGTCCTCCCTCCCCAGCAAGGGCCGTCCTCGGGCACGGACAGAGTGAAGAAGGGTGGATCCTACATGTGCCATAAGGTAACTTATGTGCTCTTCTCCTGTTCCTCTTCCCTCTGAAAGCACTTGACCATGATCCTCTGACAGTTTCCTGGCAGCCTGGATGCTTGTCAAGGGGTTTCATGGGATTTATGAAGAGCAACACCTGATGTTCCCAAGGACCTCTTTTTGCTTAGCTGGGAGTTAAAACAAGTAAGTTTTCTAAATCAGTATGGGTTTTAAATGCAGAACTTCAAATTGATGTAGTCTTCTAATGGTGTTTTCATGACAGAGCTGGAGCAATACTTGTCAGAGTAGAAAGGATGGATGTGACTTTGTTTTTCAAGTTTTAGAATGGCTTTTGATCCAGAAAGAATATGGAGCTCTGAGTAACCTGGGCTAGGGAAAGGTGTTCCTGCCCAGGGCAGGGGGTTGGGACTGGATAAGCTTTAAGGGCCCTTCAATCCCAAATCCTTTTATAATTCCATGGTTCAATGATATCAGGTGTTTGCAGAGCTGGCTGGGGGATGAAGTGTTTGTTGGTGGCATACCTGAAAATCCTTCAGAACTGCCAGAGTGATGGCTGTTCATGACATAAAATAGTGTTTTAAACTCTGCTCATGCAGTGCTCAAAAGCCCTCATTGTACTTCTCCTGTTTCATTAAAGCTGTCCTGTTCTTCCCTTGCAAAGCCTGTGGCTGGCAAATCACTCTCATAATTAGATTAAATTTTCTACAGTGAGATCCCATTTTCTACACTGATTTCCTTCTTAGGTGAAATCAATGTCAGATGTTAATTAGCAGTTTTGATTAAATTAACACTGGAATAGGCTCTTCAGTGATGAATAACATGACCTATTTTGAAGGTTTGTGAAGATTCTAGTCTGCCCTAGTCTTTTTTTGTAGGTGATAAAACTAGGCTGTGTATCAAGACAAAACCACTGACTACTGTTAGTACAAGGGCTCTTTATTAGGTGCCTGATATCAGCTCAGACTGATCTTTGTGTGCTGGTGCTCTTCTCCCTCTCAGAGCTGACAGAGCCTGAAGTTGCACCTTTTTACATCCCATCCCAAAAGTCTGGCACCTCACTCAGGGCAATGTTCAGTACCTGTCCATTCCAGTGGGGCACTAGCACATGGATACACAGCTCAGCCTCTGAGGGGAAGCTGAATGGCTGTTTTGGCTTTTTCCCAGAGCAGGAGAGATTCTTGGCTGACACTTCATCAGACACTTTGCCTTTCAGTCTAGTTTTTGTGTCAGCTGGTGGCTGTTTAGGATTCCCTCATTTCTAACTCAGCGATTTCCATCCGTAGCACTTCATCGATCTGTCCCACAGCGATGACGTTTGGCTGTATGAATCTAACTAATTAATCTGTTAATCTAACAAGCTGCTGCCTGAGGAGCCCCAGCTGTGCTAAGAAGTTCCTTTTCTGTGTTGCTGTGCAGTCCTACTGCTACAGGTACCGCTGTGCAGCTCGGAGCCAGAACACCCCCGACAGCTCCGCATCCAACCTGGGCTTCCGCTGCGCCGCCAGCACCGCCCCGGGGCCACGCTGAGCCACTCGCAGGGCATGGCAGGGCACAGGAGGGGCTGCATCCCACCCCAGGGACAACAAACATGGGCAGAGTCCCTTGCTGATGGCACACCTTGGAAAAACCTTGCTTGAAGTTCCTGCTGAGGGAAGAAAAACCAGCACGACTCAAGAGCGCTTGGAGAACCTTCCGAGCAACCTGGCCTGGGTGGTTTGGGTTCAACTGGAACAAAACTGAGCAAACATGGCAATCATGCTTTCAAAGATTGCTTAATCCCAGAATTAGGCTGGAAAAAACCTCCAGAATTATTGAGTCCAGCCCTTGACTGATCACCACCTTGTCAAGTACAACAGCTCCTCTTTAGACAGAATCTTTATTAATTACTTTTATTTATGTAGAATTTCTACACTCAAATGCAATAAGCAAAGACTTTATAAACTTTTAGACAGCTTTAAAAGAAATTCTAGGCAATTAGGAAATTCTAGGCAGCTTTGAGAGACAATGAAGGAGTCAAGAATGAGGGCTGGGAGATGACAACTCTCCCACAGGCAGCTTGCCCTCTGTTACATTCCACTTGCAGTGAAATCATGTCCAGAAATGGGCTTCTCTCGGGGAGATATTTGCTGCTCTTTAGGAAGTGCCTTCTGCAGCTGAGGGAGGTGATCCTCAGGGTGATGATGATTAGAAATCTTGTACATATTTGAATAAAATATCAAGCATTTGTTTATGCCAAAGATTTTTATTGATGGAAAAACACAACTTCCTTTGCATTTCTTGGGCGCAGCAGAGGCTTATTTTAGGGACTTGGAAAATGCAATACTGGCCTCATTAGAAACTGAAGCTAATGAATGATTCCACTTGAATAAGAGTCATGGAAGTGATGGCAGATGGAACTGTGAGCCCTAAGACCTAATAGGGTAAATTTCTAAACTGTTTTGTTGAAAATAAAATTCCTCACTGAAAAGGAGATGAATTTTAGCAAGTGAGAAGGGAAATGGGAGCAATTGAAAGCAACCTCGTTTTGGGATCTGAATGTGACTGTGGATTAACAAAAGCCTTGGCACTGATACTGGTCCTTGCCAGTGTTGTCTTTGCTGTAGAAAATTGGGTTTGAGTTTAATGCAAATCCATCACCTGGCAGCTCCTTCTGCAGTGGTTTCATGTTAAGAAGATGACACAGGAGAATGCCTGGGCAGCCCTTCACCAAACACCAGCCTCCAGTGGGGGCCAGGTAAGCCCAGCAAGCAGAAAAATCTATCCCAGGACACAGCATGATGTGGCATAACATGGAGATATTGATAATCATGGTTGCACTCAGAGAAGAAAGGAGGAAGGGGGATGAAGGGAAGCTCAGAGCCTTCTGAGCTGTTTGACTGGATTCATTGTGGATGAGCACACTGAGCTGTGAGGGGCAGACTGGAGCTCTGAAGCTGGAAGGAGTCTGAAGGAGAAAGTGAGCAGAAATTCAGCAGATACAACTAAGAGTCTATTTCTTTCCTAGTTTCTTGACAGGGAATTTTTTTAGTAAGCTTTTGGTCCACTCCCCCAGGCAGCTGCAGTGCCAAGGCATGGTGGAGTATAGTGCTGTATGGAAAAAGGCCATTAACAACTGTCAGGATGGTTTAGAACTCAATTAACAATTATTTTGTTTTTGCAAGGCCTTCAGTGTGGCTGTTTTGAGCAGTCCAGCACTGTTCCTGTTGTGGGAAGTTTGCTCCAAGCAGATAACTGGGATCAGGTCACTGCCAGGAGCTGCAGCCCTGGCGTGGGCTGAGGGCTTGAATTGCAGGGACAGGGAGCTCAGCTGTGCTCCTGCTGTGGGGCTGTGATCAAGGACCAGATACTGCTCAAGGTGGTTGGGTTTTTTTTAATCTGCACTTCCTTAACTACTCAAAATCTTGCCAAGTGCATACTCATAACAGGAAGGTAACAAACTGTGCTGTCATCCTGAAAATGAGGAGTGCAGATGCTGTAACACTCATCTTGAAACTTTGCTCAGGAGGGAAAGAGGAAGTGGATTGGCTCATCTGCTCCCAGCCCTGTGTCTGAAAGTGGCTGGCATGATGCCTTCTCAGGGAGAAAACCAGATAAAACTCCCTTCTTCCCAAGAGACCTTGCAGTCCAGGCTGTGCCCTGGAATCCTGGGCATTCCAAGGTATGGGATCCAGGGAGTAGCAGCAGGAACCCCAAGAGGCAAGGACTGAAGTTCATGTCCACTCAGCCTGTAAACTACTTGTGCCAGCAGCTGAAATCCTTTGGAAGGTTCTGCACTGACAGAAATGATGCTTAATGATTAACCCTAAGAGAAATGACGTGGTCATGTTTATTTTAACATAAACCCACAGCTGTGTCTAAACCTCAGCAGCAGCAGGAAGGCTCTTAAATGGGAGAGGTTAACACTGAATCTTATCAAGGAAGCAAACATAAACACCAAGTAGGATTTTGTTTAGTAAATAGCAAAATGTCCTTTATCCCTGGGCAGTATCAGGTTAATCAGAGTGGTTTGGGTTGGAAGGGACCTTAAAGCTCATCTTGTTCCAACCCCCCTCCCCAGAGCAGGGGACCTTCAATTCCTTCAGAGCTGCATCCTTGAATTATTCTGATCATATTTCAATAGGAAAGTAAATCTCCCAATGAATATTGAAATATTGAGAATCATTACTGCTCTTTGAGAGTAGACAGGATTAGAGAGCTCTCAGTTTTTAGCTGTTTGCATGGATTCCTTGTGAAGGAGCACACTGAATTGGGAGTGACAGCTCAGTCCTTCAGTGGCACCAATCCTTCAGGTCCAAATCAAAGTTGTCTGTAATTTAAAAATGAAGTCACTGATCACCTGCAAAACATCAGATCCCCATGAGATGCACTCCCTTGTGTGTTTTATGTCAAAGGGTGTGGAAACAGGTGCAGATCCAACTGTCCAGAGCAAATAATTGAGGGTTTGCTGCTGATGGCACAGAGTGACATGAATAAAAAACTGCATTGCAGTTTATCCATCTTAAATATCAAAACCAGCCTATGTGAAGCTGCCTTAACTTGATCTTTGCAGAAAGGAAGTGGAGAACCTGCAGTTACAGAATGTGCCCATGTGGCAGTGCATCCCTGGGGGAAGGAGGTGCTCAGAAAAGCCCTGCACAGCTCCTGGAGCCAGGCAGAGATGATGCAAAGAAGATGCAATGACCTTCTCCCTGTGCTGCCTTGCTTAGTGCTGCCTGGCCCTGGAGTAGTGAAAACATGGCTCAGTTAGCAGCTGAAAGAACCCTCGTGCATCTGTCAGCTGTTCAGCACAAAACACAGATCTGTTGCTGTTCAGATGCACTTCTGTGTTTCTCCCTTCAGGCAGCTGTCAGCACCATCCTGCTTCATGCTGCAGGGGTTGCTTTAGCTTCCTGAGCAGGTACTGAGTGCTGGGGAGTAACAGATTGCAGAGATCTGACTGGAGCAGCCTCGAGGCTGAGGTGATTAGAAAAGATGGGATGTGGTGCTCCTCAGGGACTGCTGTCCTGCACCACTTGAGCACAGCTCAATGGCAGTGAAACAGCCACTCAGTCACAGCTGCTGTGGGCATGCAGCTGGACAAGGGACACACCAAGTACTATAGCTACTCTTACATCAATAATTAGTAGTTACTATGCTTTGTGGAACAACAACAACAACAACAAAATTACAGCAAGTAATTTAAAACCAATAATTTAATGGATTTTAAGAACCTAATGCCTTTCTTGCAAGAATCATGGTTCATGGTGTTATTTTCTTGTGCCACTGTCAGTGACTTTCCTTGCTCACGTCCTGTCCATGTACAAGTGCCAAAGGCACAAATTCTTTCTGAAAGGTACAAACTGAGAGAGCTGCTTTAACATACAGCAAGCTGTCAGAGGAAAACCAGGCAAAAACACCAGGCCTGGCTTAGTCACTGATTTTGGAACATCTTGAAGCTCCAATTTTCAAGGTGTAGTATCCACCTTGAAAAGGTTTTTCCATAAAATTAGTTCTTGAAACCATGTCTCTTCCTGCTCCTCAAGCCCCATGTGCTTCCTTGTTGGGACACAATGAGTTTGATTTAACTGCTAGAGAAAACAGTATTTTTAGGTGTGTTTAAGGCTGAAATGCTACAGAGAACTCGCTGGTGTGGAGAAGAGGGAGCTGTCCCAAGGTAAGAAGGAAGCACACGTGCGGGAACCACAGTAGCAAGGTTTCCTCAGGCTGTTCTCTTCCTCCGGAGCTTTGCATTCTCTGCTGGCTCCTGGGACATTCCGGAATCTTCCAGAGTAATCATACGTGAGTTCCTCTCCAGCAGCAATATCAGCAGCTGCAAAAAGCGCCAGTTTGGGCACCATGGAGTCAACTCTGACGGGCACCATGACGAGGTTGGGCTCACAGGAGTGGTTCAGGAACCTGCCCACGTTCCCGATGCGCGTGGGATCCACGAAGGTCTCCATGACGCGCCCGTCGTGCAGGTGCTCCCTCACTGCTATGATGTAGTTTGGCTCCTGTGGGCTCTGGGCCTGGATCCTCCTCTGAGCCTCGGCAAAGCCCAGCACCTCCCCGGCATACTCACACACGAAGCTGCCCTCAGGGATGGGCTGCAGGGCGCGCACGCCCCAGCCCTTGTGCGGCGTGCGGAACACCTGCAGCCGCAGCTGCAGCCCCCGCTGCACCAGGCGGTTCTGGCAGCCCTCCCCGCAGCAGCACAGGCTGTTGCACTCAAACACGGGCCTCGAGAAGGGCTGTGGCTGCTGCTGCTGCTGCTGCTCGGCCAGCAGGAGCCCCAGGCTGCTGTAGCTGTGCCCGCGGCTCAGGCAGGGGCACTCGGGAGCCGCGCAGGAGCGGCTGCGGCAGGAGCAGCCCGGGAAGGTCACCTCAGTGGGGTCCAGCTCTCCGTCTGCTCCGGCCACGCTCTCGGGGCTGTACTGCAGAGAGAACAGCAGTCAGAGCCTTGCAGCACTGCTTGAAACCAGAATGCTAAACAAGTTTGTGTCTGTAAACAGCTGATCCCAGAACAAAAATCATGAACGCTTTGCTTTTCCGCAAGCTTCCGACTCAAACTTGTCTGAAATGTTTAAAATACAATTCCGATATTCCATATAGACCAAAAACCAACTGATTGCTCTTTTCAGGGAGGTGGTAGAATCACCATCTGTGGATGTGTTCAGAAAAAGACTGGACATGGCACTTGGTGCTATGGTTTAGTTGAGGTGTTGGGGCACAGGTTGGACTCGATCTTAGAGGTCTCTTCCAACCTCATCATTCTGTGATTCTGTGATTAGTGTCTGAATTTCTCAAAGCAACCCCCTGGCCACAAAAATGCTTAGCAGAAAAGAAATCAGCTCATTAGACCCTACTATGTACGATTTTCATTTCTAGAGATAATAAAGATATTTATTTATGGATTATTTATTTGCAGAATTATCAAGGTATTCTTAAAGTAATTCTCCCTACACTTCAAAATGTTCAATAAGTTACTTCTAAGGTTAATCTATAGCTTTGCAAGCCACAGAATTTCAAATACACAATTATGTTGAAAATGAAGATACTTTCAATTTGGCTGTCCAACTTGTTGTATTCACACTTCCTCCTAATTCCGGTAGAAAATCAGGTTCTCAAAATTCCACTGATGCCCCCAGCAGGTGAATGGCTATAGAACCACGGAGTGTTGCGAAACAAAACCCGATACAAACTGCTACATTTTGACACCAAGGTGTAAGGACAGCCAGAGGGTATTTCCACTCCCTCCTCAGCATCCAGCTTTATTTAGAAGCCTGGAGGATGTGCTATCACTAAATATTGCATTTCACAGCAGCTTGTACCTGGCAGTTCTGGGTGTTGTGAAAGATGACAGTGCATTTGCAAATTCCTTTTTTTTTGATAAGCATCAGCATCTCAGTCACTCGGCTTTACTCAAAACCAAGTTTCATGTTCCTCAGCCACCATTTCGGTGAAATACCGAGCACACCACGCAATTCAGGG